GAAATGGACTTGAACTAAGTTAAAAACCAAATATTTTTATCGTGACACATTGCAAACTCATTTTGGAAAATGTTATGTCTTCCTGGTTTCAAAAACATTTTGAAGCGAAATCTTCCAACATGATTCTGTCTCAACACATATTGAAGAATAGCACAAGGTGTTTTTTTTCTGTCTTTCTTACAGCTCAAGTGTTACCATTTTATTCACTAGACTTAAATCAAATTCATTTTTCCGCATGGTCCATTTTATTGCTAAAACTTTGGTATCTCTCCCAAAAAAATATATATATATAAAATATCAATGCGAATAATAGGATAAAATACCAGCACATGAGAAGTAGCCATTGGAAAAAAAATTAAGCTCAAAAAATTGTAAATATATACGATGTTTTCATGCTGTTTAAAAGTTTAGTTGTAATATTTCAATGAGAATTGCAATTATAGTGTTGTCTGCATACAAATTATTTCCGTATAACTGTGTGCATTATAAATTAATTTACTTTAAAATAAATTAAAGTATTAATAAAAAAATATATACCTGTATATTGTACATACAACAAAGTATTGATAAGTTTCTAAGAAACTCTAAAAGACATAATATTAAACACATTTTTTAAGATGTATCAGTATTGAAAAGATGAGAGCTTTAGCTTGTGATAGTAATAATATTATTAACACATTATTTTACAAATCTTTAAATTAAAAGATTTATTATTCGACAATTAATTAAATACTTTTAAAAACTTTGAAGTTTTATATTCATTTTCACACTGTTGCCACTTACTATTAAAATTAATTCTTTAACTTTACGCAACTTATAAACTGCACTCATTACATATTTTGTTTCCTTAAAATCGTCTTTGTAATAAATAATATAATTTAAAATGAGAAAAATAATGCTGCTTTCACCAAATGGACATAGATATTTCTCACTTTTTTCCCTTCAAATTGTAGCATTTAATTTAGATTATAATATGATTTTATGAGACTAGATGACTTTTTGTAAATTATGTATTCAGAACTAATTTTTAGGAGTTATTATAGGTATAAATGTATAAAATATTTCATGCACCTAAACATTAGAGAATAACAGATTTAATCTTCCAGCATGTGAGAGAGATTTTAAAAATGAATTTTATTTAATTATTTAAAAATCCTGATATCGCTACGGAAACTTTCCTTCCGTCATTTTTCTTTCTCCTTTTGATCTACTTTCTGTCATAATCACGATTTAAGCTCAAAATTTATGCTTGAAGATTTATAAATACTTTTCTTTTATTGCAACTCCGCAACATCTCTACATCGACGATTTTATTACTTTAATTCTTAAATAGTTAGAAACTGTCAAAAAACAATAGGAAAAAGAATTACTGGTAAGAAGAATTACAATTATGATAGACATTCAGTTACTAATTACATGTTTATCATTAAAGCAACAGCACGAAGATATTTAATTCCTTGTTATTCTTCCTTAAAATGATTTAGTTATTTAAATGTTTCATTATAATTACACTGAGAAAAAGTGAGGCCAAATCTAACAGAATATGGTAAAATTTACTGTGGATAGGAACACAAAAGTCCTAGTAAATTTTACCGAAGCATCTTGGTAAAATTAGCAATAAAATATTGTTTTATAATATGTGAAAAATTTAGTAAATGTAATAAAATTTGGAAATTTTATCATGATACCTTAGAGCATGACATAGAAATGATTCGCTCGGTTAAATTTACCTTCTAGTTTTGTATTTTGTACTAAATGTGTGGTATTAAGATTAATTTCGAAAACCAAGATACCATATAAACAGTTACCATATAAACAGAACAATTACCAAATGAGTGGTTTAAATTCCGTAAAGGAGAATTAAGTTTTTATTTCACCAGGAATGTCATTGCAGTTCATTAAGGTATTTCAACAAAATTATTTTTCTCTAAGTACATTGTTACAAAGATGGAACAAAAAATTGTTTTATTGTCTGAAAGAGTTTTCAAAATTGAGTGCCATTAAATTACAAATTATTGTCTTACACAAATGTGCAATTGTAAAGTTAAAAGTCGCTTTGACTTCAAATGAAATTAAGGAGTATATAAATAAAAATAAATAAATGGATTATGTAAATAATACTAATATATAATAATGAATAATATAAATTGTGTCTTCATGTAATATCAGGAACCATACAAATTGCTTGGGCATAGAAAATTTTATGACTAAGAAAGAGAAATGGCAAATAAGACATACCAGTATTTTTCAATTTCTCATAAATATGAATCAAATAATAAAGGATATGAATAGAAAAAGAGTTTAGCAAATTTGAAACGAGTAGTTGAATCTTAGTGGGAGGCGCAAGAAAATTATACCCATGAAACTAATACCTTCTTTACTGTATCTAATTTTCATTTGTATATTTTTATTTCTTTATTAGTTTTTGTAGTTTAGTATTGTAAATAGTTGAGACGAAATATGGCCTTTTTATTTATTTCATTTTGATATCATTTCAACTTTGTTTATCATATATTGCTGTAATTATAATAATTTAAGTAATATTTTTTATTAAATTACTAACTGTTATTTACTTTAAGTTAATGATTATTTGATTTTAATATTTACACTTTTAAAAATTCATATTTCATAATTTCGTACAACCTTTCTTGTTGTGATAGGTACTTTTGCTTGAGTTGAACCTTAAAAGAATTTTTATTTATAACAACGTTTAGTTGTTTATATCTCTTCTAACCACTTTGCTTGGAAAAATTGTCCCCACCTAATATTTTAAATGTAAAACTATTACTATTTTACAAGTAAAATTATGGGGAAAAATCAAATTAAACTAAAAAATTACATATAATTACTTAAATTGAGTTAATATACTCTTTTTTTATAAATAAAATTCATAATTTACTTCTAGAGAATTTTTCACATTAATTTTTGCTTTTTTGAAAAAATTAAATGTATATTATGATGCTCGTTTCAAATTAAATTTAAAAACTTATTTCTAACGATACCTTTCTTATGTAATAATTTTATTATTAAAAAGAAACGAATGTAAGTTGTTCACTTGCTTAAAATAATTTTGTAATTCAATTAGATAAGTGACCAACTTATATTAGTGGTCAGTTTGAAATGCATTCTTTTGATCGACTTATGACAAAGTGCTAGTTTTGCAGTTTTTTATTTAGACAAATTAGACTAATGACTCAACTCGAAAAGGCAGTCAACTTAACAGGTTTCACTGCAATTTTAGTCAAAACAAATGTATTACTTTTATTTCCTAGCATAAAAAATTAAGAAAATATCTTAAAAAATTAAAATAAAGAAAAATCAATTCAATAGTATGTATTTTATTATTAAAATTAAATAATATTAGAAGCGAAACAGATAAACCAAAACGAAATAAAGTAAATATTAGAAAATCTGATCATAAATGAAAAAACTCTTCCATTTAATTGTTTATCCAACAGTTCTGCAAGAATAGCTATTCTAAAAAGTTTGTTACATTAAATAATGAACCATAAAATCAAAACTGGATAGATTTTTTAAAAGAAGAGGAAAACAATTTTTAGAAATGTATTATGGAATAACAATTAATGAACTTAACACAACTTAACAAATAAAATTGATCAATTTTAAAAGAACAAGAAAACAATTTTTAGAAATGTAAAATCGAATAGTTGTTTTAGAATTCAGGAATTATTATGCACAATATTTAGAAACCATGCGTAAAACATGAGATTAAAAAAAATGGATCAATTTTAGAAAGCAAACAATTTATAAAACTTTTAAAAAATTAAAAGAGAAAGAAAACTAAAATGATCTTTTATTAAGGAATTTAAAAAAAGGTTATTTTAAGCATATTTTATATTTCGAATAATAATATTTGGTTTACAGGAATGCTAGTAATTTAGTTTCTGTACTCCACTTTTATTATTCATACAGTACCTTACAAAAATTAAAGAGACACTATTTTTTAAAAATTTTCAGGAATTTCTCAGAGAACTTTATTACTTAGGGATATTTGGTCATGCAATTTCTCATACTTGTCAATAAAGTATGAGCTTTTAAAGGTTTTAGGAATCGACAATAAATTACGAATGAAGAAAAGTGTTATCTCAGAAAATATAGCAAATAATTACTAGAAAAATAGAAATAAATTTAGAAATATAATTTTGCTATAGATTAAAAATTGCTTCAAAAACTTTGTTTTATTTCATTGAATATTTTTAAAGTTACATCAAAAAAACATTACAGAAGAAATTAATTTTTTTCTAAAAATGTCCATATATCCATAAGTATTTAAGTAAGGCTTGCGAAGTTTTATAAAATTATTTCATATAATAGCCAATATAATCGTTACAGGTTACAAGTTTATTGAAGCTAAAACTACTCAAAAATATTAGTTAGTTACTAATTAATTAAGGAAATTCGGGCATATGATTCTCCATTCACTGTAAAAAAATCTCGTTTCAAATTACGGTATAAAGTACCGGCAGTTTGGGTGCATCATCCGTAAAATTCAACTTTACCGCAGAATGTTAAACCTTTATTTTTATAGTATTTATTTAATTAGAGTGATTCAGTGATATTATGGTAATTATACTTTAAAAATTACGTTATATCAGATTTTTTGTTCCACAACGTGTTCCGGTAAAATGGATTTTACGATAAAAAGTACCGGCATTCTGAGTGCCGATCCTTTATACCGTAATTTGATCAGGAATTTTTTACAGTGTAGGTTAACGTGGTCGAAATAAAAACATTTTCTTTTTGAAGAGCACGCTCACAGTTTATTTATACAAAAAAAAATTTCAACACGAATGGAGAGTTACTTGACGTGAGTTGTAAATCGCAAACCATGATGCGTGCAAGAATATCACTCACACAAAAAATTAGAATGAGTTAACAAGAATCATTTTCTTATGTTAGGTTGGCATGTTATGGGTTTTAAATTGTAAATACTCTCTAATGTTTAAAAGAGTGTTAGTAACGTATCTCACATTACTTACTAGTTTTAGGTTTCTTCTCAGTTTTGGCATCTTTCTTCTTTTCTTTGACATCAGACGGGGAATTACTTATTGGTTTCATTTCAGAAGCAGTCAGTTCTATTGCTGTACAGTGAGGTAGATTTTCTTCTTTTTTCGCAATATCTACACAAAAAGTAACTTTTGTTAAAAATATGGAGGATTTCACACTCATAATTATTTTATCGAAGTTATATAGAAATCTAAGACTACAGGGTTTGTCACGAAATTGGAAATTTCAAGTGACTGAAAAGTTGTAGGCATTTACTATTTGCCAAAAAGCTTTTAGGCGGATTGAAAAATACATAGATCTTAGGATGTGGTTTAAATTTTATTGAATGAGGTCAAAAAGGAAAATTGTTGAGAATGTTTAAAGTAAATGTAAAAAAAATATTTTCAAGAGGAAAAATGTAAAATAATACTAAATATAATATATATATGGGTGATTCTCACGAAACATGACAATTCACTGTATCTTGCTCCAAGATCTAATACTATAATACTAAAAGAACTTTCTTTTAAAAAAATTAATAAATAGCATTGCTGTTAGCATTTTAAAATGACTTTGACTGTTTTGTATACTTAAAAAATTTAATTGAATGTCAAAATGTCCTTTTCCTGGCATGTTCCAAACAATATTTCCAATAATAACTAGCTTCAAAACTTCCCATACATTTTTCAAAATCTAATTTTTAATATCTTATGCTATGTAGGCATTTCTAGAATATAAGCAGAGGCTATTGTTTACTAAAACTTCGTTTAAAATAATTTTTTCTGTCTATAATTTGTTTGTCCCATGAAAATCTGTCATTTTCCTGGCTACTTTTATTTAGTGATTTATAACCAAAATAGATAGTGCCAGGAATCAATATCTTATGTTAATAGAATGATTAGATACCCTCCTATCTGAACATGTCTTGTTGCATGAATAAAGAACTAATTTTCTGGCTCAAAATCTATTTCAAAAATTTTTTCAAGGTGAGTAGGTTTTCATGCTGTCATTTTCCTGGCTTCTTGAAATCATTAATAACAAAAACTACATAGATTTGTCTGAGTTATTTTAAGAAATGCTATTGTTTTCTGCAGAATATAAACGCCTTCGGTCAAAATATTAAATTAAAGTAAAGTTATATGCTATAAAATGGCGAATTTGTCATTCTCCTGGCTGTCATTTTCCTGGCTAATGAATGCCAGGACATTGAAGTGTTACCAGAAATTCTTTTACACTGCTAATACTGCAAAAAAGGAAAGCAAATTTTAACCTAATACCAAGTTTAACTTCTAAGGTAATATGTCATTTTCCTGGCATTCAAGATTTGGTGAATTTCTATTTTATTTTTTTTTCTCGACTATAGGAACAATAAACTACACTTCTCGTTAATAAACTACACTGCTGTCTATAAGATATTAATAAGTGTAGCTAAACAAGTATACAAAAAAAATTTTAGATTATTTTGAGGACTTTAAATTTGAAGAAATTTTTTGGTCCGAATTGTCACGTTTCGTGAGAATCACCCATATATGAAATGTAGCATTTACATCTTCCACAATGTGTCCTAAAAAACTTAATTTTCATTAACAGATACGCATATATTTATTTTTCTACTCAATATTTAATTTAAGTTAGATACCGAGAAACCTAAATGTTACAGTTCTAATAGTTTTACATAAATAACTCTTTTAGATAAGCTTTTTTACATAAATAACTTTTTAAATCTATGTTACATTCAAAACTTGACATTTTTACACTCAAAAACTAAAATTTGAATTTTGCGGTCTTTAAAGAATTAATAATGTAGGTTTTTGACCACAAAAAATTAAGCTTTAGGCCTATTCCAGAGAACCTAAGTATTATTCAATTAGATTTTATTTTTTTATAGATAAATATGTGAATCCGGGAATAACTTCTTATCAACTTAAAGGTTTAAGTTGAGGGAAATTTTTTTTCCTCTAATAACCTAATAAGCAACATCATTTAAAATAATGGTTTATATTTTTCATATTGTAAAAGTTTACAGTTATTTCGAAAATGTTTTTTATTTTTCAAGTTTAGCATGTAATAAATAGAAAAAATAGTACACATTGTAAGTAATAATTAAAATTTTTAGCAGTTTTTATAAAATATCTGGAGAATAAACTCTATAATAGAAATAGAATAAAAATAGTACACATTGTGTAATAATTAAAATTTTTAATAGTTTTTATAAAATATCTGGAGAATAAACTCCTTAATAGGAATAGAAAAAAAAATAGTACACATTGTAAGTAATAATTAAAATTTTTAGCAGTTTTTATAAAATATCTGGAGAATAAACTCTATAATAGAAATAGAATAAAAATAGTACACATTGTGTAATAATTAAAATTTTTAATAGTTTTTATAAAATATCTGGAGAATAAACTCCTTAATAGGAATAGAAAAAAAAATAGTACACATTGTAAGTAATAATTAAAATTTTTAGCAGTTTTTATAAAATATCTGGAGAATAAACTCAAAATATCTACGAATTTAATCGAATCTTATAAATCATACTTAATTTAGGTTTTTAATGATTCAAATGAATGTATAAATTCCACTACTGACCTATTAATACTTTTGAATCGTATAGTTATTTTAAGAAATAAAAATAAAAGTTTTGATTCCAGTTATGAAATCCTGTTACTATGATACAATTGAATAAAATGTGTAATTTACACATTTCGTTTTCATTTGTTTAATTAAGTTGTTAAATGCTATGTTTTTTTTCTAATCTGCTTTAAAAAATTTAAAATTGTAAAAAAAGGAACAAGTTTTGCACTTATTTGAATATAAAAGTTTATATAAATGCAAAACAAAAAAAAGAAATTTATTGAAAGGGCAAACATACAGAAATCTTGAGTTGAGTATTAATGCAGAACATAAATCGTGACTTTATGTCTGTTTTAAATTTACACCAAAATAAGAGATTAATAAATAAGAGAAAAAGAATTGCATAATGTGTGTATTTCATAAATTAAAAATCAAGTGCAAAATAAAGATAATTTAACTAAATCAATGATGTACAACATTTACAAGATCATCATCATTATCATCACCCCCTTTTTTTTTGAAAAAAAAACCCTGATAATATTTTAACATTTCTGGTTTAAATAAGAAGTTCTTTTTATTTCATTTAATATAAAATCTTTTATATGAGTTTAAAAATGCTTGATTGGCAAAACTTTAATGCTCGGAACGAACGCAAATTAATTTGCTTTGCTCCAGATGTTATAGTCTTTATAATTCAAATAAAATGCATCAATAAAAAATATTTTATAGTTTTCCCACAACTTTTTCTTAGAATTATATTTTCATTTTAAATTATTTTTTTATTTTTTTATTTTATGACCGCCGTTGAACAGTCGACCCAATTTTTGGGTTTACGACTACAAATGTTCAACGCCGTAGCCTTGTAATTTTGAACCAATCCAGAAGACAAGGAAACTTCTGTATCGGTACCCCCAGAGGTATTGATTTGTTATGGGAACATGGAGGACTTTGAGACTCGACAGATTTAACGTGCATCAGTCACCATTTACTACACGGGGAGTCTTCGGCCGGCGNATTTTATGTTAAATCGGAGAATTTCTTCGAAAAAATTTCTAATAGGCTCATGCTAAATTATATTCACAAAATACAAAAAAACGAAGTGAAAAAGAGCAACATACACGATTATTTTTGTATTTGAATAAACATTTTCTTGGATGTAAAACCTGACAAAGAAATTTTTTTGCACCGTTGGTATGTTAAAGTTCACAGGTTTTGTTTAACGAAGGAAAAGTATTTTAAACCCATATAGAGTTTTTACGAAAATTGTCCTCAAAAAAAGACAAATAATACATTTTAGTTCGCGGGCCGCCAGTTGGTATCCACTGATTTAGAATAGACAAAAAAACCAGATGAGACAGTTTTATTACAAATACTGGAAATTTTTATGTTGCTTACAAATATTTGATATTATTTCTAATTCATATATCGTTCTAGGAAATTAGGTCCTGGTAGAATCTCAAACGCAGCACGTAATTATATGCTTTCATTTACACATTATGAAATAAATTTCCTTAGATGGATCAATAGATATTTTCTTCTATAATTTTTCTTAGTTTTTACATTTTAATACTCACAGTATTTATAATTTTAATTATTTTGAAATGCTTCAGAAAGACGAATGAAGTATTTTGAAAGTGTTAAATAAATAATCACAAGAAACTAAAGTGGTAATGTACTTGATTTAAACCTCATTCGCTTCAAAAATATGTAAATTGGAAGTAACAGTCGACATGTTTCAAATGCTGAAAAACAGGTGCCCATTTTCAAGACTTACCATACATGAATGAGAAGAAAAAAGAGTGACTTGTAAAATAATACGTTAAGTTTCCAACGAGGAATGAAAAAACAAAGGTGAGAAACATAACTAGAAAAACAGCAGTAGTCGAGAAAAAAATAAAAACAGAGATTAAAAAACAAAACAGGAAAAACCACTGTGTGAGAGGGGCAAATTAGGGTAAAATATATTTCCTCGCATTGTGGAGAAGGCGAAAAACTAATGCCGTCAACAAGGGAATCAGTATTCATATAAATAAAAAAAGATTTCAGGACATCAAGATGAGCTGATGTTACTGGAGTGGAAATAATTTTGGCTCATTTTGGCCCATTTTTTGCTCGTGTCAATTATTATTTCCAATTTGTTTACTTTTGAAACGAATGAAGTTTTTAATCAAGTAATGTTTCGAAAGTGGTTGCAAAAAATGTAATGAAACTTGCATAATGCAAATATTACTAAAATATATTTTTAAGTTTTTGTGCTCATTTGCGTTGATGGGGAGAGCAATGTTGGCATACAATTTTATTGTTCGAAACTATTGTAATGCTTTTCGCGAATATCTGTACATAGGTTTTTCATCAGAAGGTGAAAATTTTAATTTTTATATTTTTCAAACCTATGTTAACCCGAGGAAAAGCGATACAAGACTTTAGCAAAGAGTCATTTAATATTTTATTGATGAATAACATGTCACTATAACATGTTACCATAAACACAAATGGGCATGTTATTATAGCACAAATGGACACCATGAGAGGGATATACTGCCATGATATGTTACTATACTGCTATAGTAAGCGACATATTGCAAAAAAAAAAAAAAATAATTTTCAAAAATAAATTTTGTTTTATCTGTTTTTTGAAATTTTATTTTAGCGTTCATAGCATTGGCAATAGAAGGAGAATAGCTGTCAAGCCACTTTTCTCTGAATCAATCGTGAAGCAGTTGCGTTGTTTTTTAAATTGCGCGTCAGTATAAATGCCAATAGAATTCTCAGCAAGAATTTCAATTAATAATTTATTAAACTCCTTTTAGTTAAAAAACAAATGTAAAGCTCTGCCACAACTGCCAGTTGCCGACCAATGGTGTTATGAAGGGTTCGACATTTTCAAGTGCAACGGCGCGATGGTGACAATGTGATCAGTATTGTGCACCGGTCACCTTTACTTTCGAAGGAAGCTCGGTGGACCTTAAGCCGCTACCAAGGATAGAAGCCGGGGCCTTCTAGATAGCAGCTCACTGCCCTAATCACAGCTACGTAAAGGATCATTGAAGTTACAAAGTTATTATACTATTACCCCATAGTTTTTAAAGCCATTTTCTGCAATCCACAATTTCTGATTAGTGATCTTGGAGTTTTTAACTCAAATAACCTCTTTTGAAGACCTCGAAAAAACTCTTCAGAAATGGTATAAGTATTTTTTCATTGCAATTACTTTAGTAAATTTATGTTTTTTCTTTCTATTTTCTATTACTATTAATGATGATTTCTTTATCATATAAAAGTGTTGGTTATAGAATAGATATATCTTCGTAATTTATACGCAAATTAAAAACAATTAGTTTTTTGAACTTTGTTGTAAATGAACTCAAAAAGTTACAGTTATTAGGAGTTTCAAGCAATTTTTAATTGCGTAATTTAATGCTCAGTTAGTTATTCAATAGTTGATTTAACTTAACTTAAGTTATAACTTATTAAAATATTTTCATTGATGTACTTTTAAGTGACAAAATCAAATATTTGGCTTAAATAGATCCAATATTTTATTTCTAAATAATGACTGCAGCTCAGTTTTATTACTCAGTTTTATTTACCCGTTTTCAGTTATGCTTTGCATTTTATCGTACTTTTTGAGAACTTTTAGCAAAGTTCTAAAAAATTTTGCTATAGTTTTCGAGAATGTTAATATTACTGTATGTATAATGAAGAATGTATAATTATTGTAAGGAATATTTACAATCTCAAATAGTTTTGAGATTGGAATTATTCCTTACAGTAATAATTCCTTATTGTATGTAAATATTTCGGACATTAATAGATTAAACATTAAAAAATGTTTTATAAATATTTCCAGTTAATTATTATTTCCACATGCATTAAACATGTATTTTCAGTTGAGCTAGTTGTATAATTGTTTGAGAATATTATATGTTACATTTCGCCTAGATAGTTACATAAATATGGCGATACTGCAAAACTATGCAAAGAAATCAAACTTACGACCACTCCCCTACTACTATGCGAACCATGTATTCTGGATTACACTACTCCCATATTTTGAGAGTCAAATATCAAAATTAGTTGAAAAAGAAGTAATTTTGTTTAAAGAAAATGCACGTTTTGAACTTTGAATTCACAATTTAAAGGTAGGTAGCATTAATTAGTACATTTAACATTTCTATTTGGAAACATGAAGACTGAATTAAAGCATTCCATTCGACAAAAAGGTATCACATAAAGTACTTGTTGAAATCTATGAGTGTATCTGTGTATTGGAAAATTTCTAGATAATGAAAAATTAATAAATATAATTATAAAAATTAAAAAGAAATTAAGTTTAATTTCTTATGACAATCGTGATTTCTTTGACATGCTAACACAAATGCAGAAATCAAATCATGGCCATCAGAAAAAACAAGGGTTGGAAAAAATGGACTTGGACAAAGTTTAAAGTCAAATATTTTTATCGTAACACATTGCGAACTCATTTCGGAAGATGTTATGTTTTCTTTGTTTCAAAAACGTTTTGAAAACTAAATATGGACCTTCCATCATGATTTTGTTTCAACACGCATTGAAGAGTAGCACAAAGTTCTTTTATCTGTCTTTTTTCAGATCAAGAGTTACCACTTCATTGACCAGACCTTAATCCAATGCATTTTTCTGCATGGCCCATCTCATTGCCATTACTTTGGTATCCCTCCAAAAACGATTAAACTGTGGAATAATCTTTTATTTATTATTTGTCTCCTGTTGCATGATATTTTTTTAAACAGATCTTAGATGCTTTTCTATCGTTGATATTCAAATTTGCAGTTGGTTTCTCTCTCCTATTATTTAGACCATTCTTTTTCGAAATGCTCATGCTTAAAAACGTTGCATGTAATAAAGTGGTAGGTAGCACAAATGTTGCGACAAATTTAGAAGAGAGTTAGGGCACATTATCAGGATAAAAATGACATCGAAACCCATGGCCAGAAATGTCATCGTTCGCGGCTTGGGGCGCTTCCCCATAACGAATTGTTTCTTCATGTGCTTCTGAAAGGGTCATAATAGGAAAGCACCCTAAACCGCGAATGGTGATATTTCTGGGCATGGGTTTCTAAGCAATTTTAATCCTGATAATGTGCCCTAACTCCCTTAGAAGTTGGTCGCAACATTAATCTGACCCCCAGTTTAATAAGACGTTTTTAAACTTGGGCATTTCAACACAAAACTATCTGTAGTGCAAAAACAAACTATATGTAGTATAAAAACAAACTATCTGTAGTACAAAAACAAACTATCTTTAAAATTATCTGTTGTACAAAAACAGACTATCTGAAAAACTATCTGTTGTATAAAAGCAAACTATCTTTAAAACAATCTGTAGTGTCAGGAGCAAAATTGATTTTGAAACTGAATTAGGTAAAGATTAAGTAATGGCATAAATGCAACAGAAAATTTGCTCCCCAATGTTATCGCTATTATAGTTTTTTTCCTCTTCATCTTTTCGGTAAATGGCTTTGTTTGTAAATTTTTCTCATAAATTTTAATTACATATTGTATGCTTCATTTGAGTTTTGGATTTAAGTGGACTAAAATACATTAAATTCGTCTACTATAAAAGGGTAAAATGCTTTGTTTGAATTATAAAGTTTGCATTTTACAATTACTTATTTAATAATTGTTCCCCATTTAAAGTAGTTACTCCACTCTGGTTGAATTTTACAGTTGGATAATCACTATAAAATTCAAGGCGTATAACTCATTGAGCAGGGAAAAAAAGATAAGGTCAAAATTACCAGAATATAGTAAAATTTACAGTGTTTCTAACTTCACAGGAACACCAAAAAGCACGGTAATACTAAAGCGTTTCGGTACCGAAGCGCTTTGGTAAGGATTTTGATAAAATTAAAAATAAAATATGCTTTATAATATGTGATAAAATTTGGCAAATGCGGTAGAATTTGGTAATTTTACGATACTTAAGAGCAAGGCCTGAAAACCGTTTATTCGATTAAATTTACTATCAGTTTTGTAATTTTCACTAAGTGTGTGGTAATGAGAACTATAATTCTGAAAATCAGAATTTCCGGTAAACCGTTACCATATGAGCGGAAAAATTACTAAATGATTGGTTAATGTCATAACGTTTTCTTTTTACCAGAAATGTTTTTACCATACACTACGGTAATTTTATCTGATTTTTTTTCCTCCCGTGAAGTTAAATGTTTTATTATTCTTAAATCTAAATTATTGCAATCGAAACTTAATTTAAAGAGAGGGAATATAAATAAATACGGCTGAATCATGGAAGAATATAAGAAGGTTTAATAGTTATAATTTAAACTGATACAATTATATAGGCAGCACAAAGAAAGCTATAATTGTATACTTTACTGTACTATGTATTACCATACTATATGGTAATTCTACCATAATCTTTTTCTCCATGCATATAAGGTGTGTAAGACCGTTGATATATAAGATGCATAAACTCAATGATCTATGATCTTGAAGTTGTGCAAGAAAAATTAAGTATAAAAAGCATAAGTTAAATGTCATAATGTGATGTATGAAATGCATATCATTGAATTATAAACAGGATAAAAAATACGATTAAAATACAGACATTACTGCTTATTCGGCTTAACAATTAATACCAGACTATATTATTTGTTAAACAGTAATTTGTGAAGTGCGTATTTCTATTTAAAGTAATATTTTTACTCCAGTCATCAGACTTACCACTTGGTGTTTCTTGAGCAACATGACAAGATTGTGCATTCACATGTATTTGAGCTGTGGGATGCAATGTTTCTTGTTTTAGGGGTTTATCGGATTCTGTTTGATGATCATCAACTTTCTGTGTGACTTCGACATGATGATCACTTTTGGGCTCATCACGTTGGGCTTCTTTAGCCTGTTCCACCAGATCACTACAAGTCTGACCTTTCGCAAGATCGGACTTTAGATCTTCCTTCGGACGACTTGAAGAATTCTGGTCTTTGACATTCTGCTCTTTCTGGTCATCTTTTTTACTGGACAAAACTTCAACTTTTTTATCAAGCAGCTGAGCATCTGATTTAGGCACCTCGGTTTTGTTTATGTTTTCTGTGGATTTATCATTTTCTATTTTTGGTGAATCATCCACAGTTGGCTGGATGGGTGGCGGTGGAGCCTTTCTCTTTCTTGCGTTTGGTATAGGTGGTGCCTCCATTGCTGGTAGTTTGGCATCTAAGCTACTTACGCCGCTGCTATCACTTGAAGCTTTTTCATCTGTTGATGTGCAGTGTTCCTCGTGTAGGAATGATGAAGTGGCTTCATGGTAGCCACTAGAATCGGAAGAACTTTGCCTGGAATGGAAGGGTGCTTCTGGCAGTACAGGTGGTGGTGGTGGAGGTGCGGGCCTTCGTTTTTTAGGTTTGTACCGACCTTGGTAGGCATTGTTATCACTCACTTTAGTTGTTGGTGCAAGACGATTATTGCCATTTGATAATAGTTTTTTCTCCACCTATAATAGAAGAAATAGAACAAAATTAATGATAAAAAATAAGGTATAAAATGAGAGTCTGAAACAAGGGGGGAAATTGATTAAATATATCAGGAGTAAATGTTTTGTGTTATGAACTTATTTTGGTCTTCAGTGATAAGCCTCCCAAATGAGGTGATCCGGTTCGAATCCCAGTCATGGCTGGTCGATACGAATTCCGTACCACTTCGCACCGACTACAATGCCGACATAAAATATCATCAGTGGTAGACGGATCATGTGTTAGAGTCCCCTTGCTCTGTCAGGCTAACTGTGAGAGGTTTTCGTGGTTTTCCTCTCCATCTAACACATGCGGGTTATATCCATTAAAAAGTCCTCCACGAAATTATCCATTAAATTTCTCTCAATACTTGATCCGGGAGTTACCTTGTCTTCTGAATTGGGTTCAAATTTACAAAGCTACGGAGTTCAACACTGGTGGCCGTAAACTCAAATTTGGGTCGGCTGTTCAGCGACGGCTATATATATATATATATATATTTA